ATGTCAAAACAATGTGATAAAATGTGAGTTCGACCTATGAAACCTTGGAATGAAGCTGGTACACAGCGCGTTGTGGCGAATGGTGATCATGGTCAAGATGCGCCCGGCAGTAGGAATGGCTTAAAGCTGATCTCCACCTTTTGATGTCCTTTACATAGTTTATTTGGGCCAGCTTGGACAGCAAGGACTATACCTGGAGCTGATTGTGGAAGTGACCATGAGCTTTTGATATGCAAGATCAAGGTAATGTTTTGTAAGACGATCATTTAGAAGCCCTCCAAGATATGACATTAGTTTATTCCAGTAATTTTGTGGAATATGTTTAAACAACAGATTTGTTCTTCTTAATACAAGAGATAAAAAGAGCCCAAAGCATTATGGAATGACCTCAAAACCATAATTAATGAAGCAGCTGAAAAAACATTATAGATAAGGGAAAAAGCCAAGAAGTCACCTTGGATTTCAGAAGAAGCTAGAAAAGTGGCCGTACAAAGAAAAAAAATTACTGGTGATAGAGTAAGAGTATCACATATGAACCGAGCTGTCAGGGTCCTGTTCACGGCAGAAGTTCTGGCATTTCTGCCAGTACCCTGCATGGCCGCACTAGCACACGTCAGCCTCAGTTTGGTGCCAGACGGCCTTTTATAAAGAGGCTCATCACACTTCCTCAAGTTGCTGGATTATCTCTAACTCCCCATGCCTTGTTCCTGTGAATGTGACCTGTGATTTGTTGATTCCGACTCGGCTTTCTCCTGGACCCGTCTACTCTGCTTTTTCCCCTGATCTGACCTCGGCTCGGCTTACGGATACTCTCTCTCCTCTGTATATGACCTTGGCTATCCCATCTGACTACGTCTGCTCTGATTCCCACCTGGTACCTGACCTTGGCTTGAACCAACTACCCATCTAAATCCCGGAAGGGCTTGCATACCACGCACAGGCGCCTCCTGTCTGCAGACCTATCTCCGTGCACCAGCTGTGCTTCTGAATGGACCACCAACCAGCACTCCTACTGGCAATCTGTGCAACTTTGGGCCTGACTCCTGCTGTCCCACTCTCAGGGGAGTCCGGAACTCAGCTGCAAGGGAAGCCCTCTCTCCATTGGCCTCCATCACCAGGTACGTGATATGAGCGTTTCGATGCCAAGTTTGGAAAGATAAAGAACAATATCTGAAGGATATTTTAAGAACATTGAAGCTGAGCACGTAAAAGGAAAAACCAGACTAGATTTTCAGGACAAAAATTCCAACCTAGTTTGGGGACGCTTAAAGACTTTAATGAACTGATACTGAATGAGCCAGGGAACATTAAAAGGTGAATGGAAAGATTATACCAAAAAGTTTATATAAATATAAATGACATTGTAGAAACTAAACCGGAAAGTGATGCTGAAGACGAACCAGATATCATGAAGGAAGAAGTCATTGCAGCAATTAAAGATTTATCGAACAATAAGTCAACAGGTATTGATGGTATCCCAACAGCGTTAATCAGAGGCTCTGAAAGTGTTCTCATGGCCCTTACTGTACTGTGTCAATGGATTTGAATGGAAAAAACATGACCAAGTGACTGGAGAAGATCACTGTCAATTCCTATGCTGAAAAAAGGAGATGCCAAAGATTGTAACAACTCCGGAATGATTGCATTAATTCCACATGCCAGCAAAGTGTTGCCGAAAATAATACATCAAAGAATACCATCATACATTGAGCAGTACCTGAATCTATGGCTGGTTTCAGAGAAGGCTGAGGAACAAGAGACATTATTGCATGTGTTAGATGGATCTTAGAGAAGTGCAGAAACTACCAAAAGACTGCATATTTTTGCTTCATTGACTACAGCAAAGTGTTTGATTGTGGGGAGCATGAAGAATTGTGGAGGACTCTGCTGCAAATGGGAATATCTAAACTGATATAACCCCTTGGCGCTGGCGCCTCCCGGCCCTTTAAGGGTTTCAGAAGCCAGGAGGCAGGGCGGGGTGTTTAGGGTCCTGTGACACGCCGTCACGGTGGTCACATAATCGGGAAAGGTTCTGATCGAAAGAGGAGATCGGAACCTTTCCGTGAGTGCCAGACGTGTGCTGGGAGCACGCAGGGCGTGCACTCTCAGCACATAGGTTTTTTTTTTTTCTAATAGGACACAAATGTGCGGCCGCTCAGCGTCTAGGTGCAGACGCCAGGAAGCCGCACATTTGCGGTCGGCCAGCATAAGAGAGGTTAAGAGGTTAATCAAGAGTCTCTACAAAAATCAAGAAGCTGCAGTGAGAACTGAATATGGCAACACTGACTGGTTTCCAATAACATGAGACATCGGGCAGGGATGCATCTTGTCATCTTACCTGTTCAACCTATACAGTGAGGCCATCTTCAGAAATGCAAATTTGGAAGAAAAGTCTGTTTGGTATCAAAGTTGGCAGCCAAAACATAAACAACCTGCTCTATGCACACAACTCTCATCACCAGCACCAAAGAGGATATGCTGTGTTTACTGAGAAGTCAAAACTGAAAGTCGAAACATGGGATTGGGACTGAATATACAGCAAACAGAACAAAGATCTTGAACACAGAAAATTATGACGATTTTGAGGTTGATGATGATAATAGAATGGAAGTTGTAAAGCATTTTAATTTCCTGGCCTCTTTCATAAACAAAGAAGCAACTAGTAGTGACAAAATATTCCGCAGAATAGCACTTGGTAGCCACACAATGAAGACTTTTAACAAAGTATTCAAAGGTAAAGAAATTGCATTCAAAACAAAGCTCAGACTCGTCCATACACATCTTTTCAGTTGTCAATTACGACTGTGAAAGCTAGACATTACAAAAACAGGATGGAAAGAAGATCGACCCATTTGAGCTTTGGTACTGGAGAAAGATTTTATGTGTGCCGTGGACAGCCCATAGAACTAATATTCAATTTTGAAAGAGATCAACCGGCTATGTCACTAGAAGCCCAAATGATAAAGTTACAACTGTCCTATTTTGGTCACACTTTTTTTTTTTTTTTTTTTTTTTTTTTTTTTTTTTTTTGGTCAGAAGAGAGCTCACTGGAGAAGGAAATAATGTTTGGGAAGATCGAAGGTGAAGAGGGAGACACATTGACCACAGCTATGGGGATGACACTGGAAGATCTCACCAAACTAGCACAAAACCATCTTCTTTTAGAGCTCTCATTCATCAAGCTACAACTTGGACTCGAGGTGACGGCACTTAGTAGCATATGAATGCAATTTTTTTTTAGTATTGAATAGTGTATGTGTGTATGTATGTATGTGTGTATGTGTGTGTGTGTGTGTATGTGTGTGTGTATATATACATATATATATATATATATATATATATATATATATATATATATATATATATACTGCTTAAAAAATGAAAGGAACACTTTGAAAACGCTCAGATTTCAATGGGGAAAAACATCATGCTGGATATCTATACTACTATGGACTGGATAATGTGTTAGGAACTTAAGGATGCCCCATCATTTGATGGAAATAAAAATTATCAACTTACAGTGGACTGATTTCAAAGACACCCCGAAAATCAAAATGAAAAAATGATGCAGCAAGGTAGGCCATTTTCCTGAAATATTATTGCAAAATGGTACTCAGTAGTTTGTAGTGCCTCCATGTGCTTGTATGCATGCCTGACAACGTTGGGGCATGCTCTTAATGAGATGATGGATGGTGTCCTGGGGTATTTCCTCCCAGATCTGGACCAGGGCATCACTGAGCTCCTGGACAGTCTGAGGTGCAACCTGGCAGTGTCGGATGGACCGAAACATGATATCCCAGTGGTGTTCTATTGGATTTGGGTCAGGCGAGCGTGGGGGCCATTCAATTCCTTCATCCTCCAGGAACTTCTTGCATACTCTCACCACTTGCAGCTGGGCATTGTCTTGCACCAGGAGGAACCCATGACCCCCTTCACCAGCATAGCGTCTTGACAAAAGGTTCAAGGATTTCATGCTAATACCTAATGGCAGTCAGGGTGCCATTGTCTAGAGCAGTAGCAGGGTCCTCAAACTTTTTAAACAGGGGGCCAGTTCACTGTCCCTCAGACCGTTGGAGGGCCGGACTATAGTTTAACCTCCTCGGCGGTCTGATTATTTCCGATTTTTTTTTTGTGCTGAAAGCGGTACCATTTTTTTGCATGGAAATATGTAGTTTTTTATTGTAGGCTGTAATTTTTAGTAATAACTCACTGAAATCTGTCCGAACAAGAGTCTAGTAAACATCCCGGGTAGGATAAACTTTAAAACACGAAATCATAAATTATAATTTAATAAATAATCATAAAAAATAATATAATAATAATACATTTAATTCAATAATATAATCAAACCAAAAACACTGAAATTTGAAATACAGAGGCAAATTCGCACATCGCTGAGCAAAGTTGCAAAATCGTTTTCAGTGTCTGATGACGAATTTCCCCACGAATCATCACTCAATTCTGCAAGTGGTTCTGATTTACTATCGTTGTTCTCTAGCCAGTCTAAAACCGCTTTTGACGTAAAGGGACGCTTTTTGGACGCCATGGACTTTTCTAAGTTTCCAGGCAGAAAGAACAGTCAAAATGTAGGCAGGGCGCAGGACAAAGCACTCGGGACAAAATGTATGTGAAATACATTGAAACAGCAATGTTTTACTATGTAATAGTAATTTAAAAAAATTGACATTTTTTAAAAATTTCAAATTTGCTGCCGGTTTCGGCGCCTGTACGGCCCGACGTCACAGGGACCGGAACACGGAAGCCGGGTGCCGGCATCGGCCGGAGGAGATGACCGGGGACGCTGCAGGGGAGACATCGCGGGAGCGAAGGACAAGGTAAGTGCTGCAGGGACTCCCAGAGCAACGCCGCATGGTAAGCCCGAGTGTAGCTCGGGGTTACCGCTTTTGGTACTGACATTTTACCCCGAGCTACACTCGGGAATACCGCTAAGGAGGTTAAAAAAAAACAAACAAAAAAAAAAACTATGAACAAATGCAGACACAGTACAGGAGATGACCAGAGACTGCGGACATACAACGGTGGCGGGAATACTGGGCCAGCCGCTTCATAAGACGCACAGACATTTCCCCCCAAGTGTGTCTTATGGAGCGAAATAGTGCCCCATCATTGGTGTCAGTGGGAGGAATAGTGCCCCATCATTTGTGTCAGTGGGAGGAATAGTGCCCCCTCGTTGGTGTCAGTGGGAAGAATCGTGCCCCTTCGTTGGTGTCAGTGGGAAGAATCTGCCCCATCGTTGGTGTCAGTGGGAAGAATTGTGCCCCTTCGTTGGTGTCAGTGGGAGGAATAGTGCCCCATTGTTTGGTGTCAGTGGGAAAAATCGTGCCCCATTGTTGGTGTCAGTGGGAAGAATTGTGCCCCTTCGTTGGTGTCAGTGGGAAGAATCTGCCCCATCGTTGGTGTCAGTGGGAGGAATCGTGCCCCATCGTTGGTGTCAGTGGGAGGAATCGTGCCCCATCGTTGGTGTCAGTGGGAGGAATAGTGCCCCATCGTTGGTGTCAGTGGGAGGAATAGTGCCCCATTGTTGGTGTCAGTGGGAGGAATAGTGCCCCATTATTGGTGTCAGTGGGAGGAATAGTGCCCCATTATTGGTGTCAGTGGGAGGAATAGTGCCCCATTGTTGGTGTCAGTGGGGGAAGGGGATAATGCCCCGTCATTGGTGTCAGTGGGAGGAATAGTGCCCCATCATTGGTATCAGTGGGGGGAGGAATAGTGCCCCATCGTTGGTGTCAGTGTGGGGGGGAATAGTGCCCCATCGTTGGTGTCAGTGGGAGGAATAGTGCCCCATTGTTAGTGTCAGTGGGGGGAGGATTAGTGCCCCATCATTTGGTGTCAGTGGGGGAAGGGGATCGTGTCCCAACATTGGTGTCAGTGGGAAGAATTGTGCCCCATCATTGGTGTCAGTAGGAGGAATAGTACCCCATCATTGGTATCAGTGGGGGGAGGAATAGTGCCCCGTCATTGGGAGGAATAGTGTCCCATCATTGGTGTCATTGGGAGGAATAGTGTCCCATCATTGGTGTCATTGGGAGGAATAGTGCCCCATCATTGGTGCCATTGGGAGGAATAGTGCTCCATCATTGGTGTCAGTGGGAGGGAATAGTGCCCCATCATTGGTGTCATTGGGGGGGGGGGGGATAGTGCCCCATCTGGGGGGGGGGGGGGATAGTGCCCCATCATTGGTGTCAGTGGGGGGGGGGGATAGTGTCCCATCATTGGTGTCAGTGGGGGGGGGATAGTGTCCCAACATTGGTGTCAGTGGGGGGGGGGATAGTGTCCCAACATTGGTGTCAGTGGGGGGGGGGGATAGTGTCCCAACATTGGTGTCAGTGGGGGGGGGGATAGTGTCCCAACATTGGTGTCAGTGGGGAGGAATAGTGTCCCAACATTGGTGTCAGTGGGGAGGAATAGTGCCCCATCATTGGTGTCAGTGGGGGAGGATAGTGTTCCATCGCTGGTGTCAGGGGGGGGAGGAAAAGTGCCCCGTCGTTGGTGTTAGTAGGGGGAGGAATAGTGCCCCATCGTTGGTGTCAGTGGGAGGAATAATGCCCCATCATTAGTATCAGTGACCTCAATGATGGGGCACTATTCCTCCCACTGACACCAATGACACTTAACTTGTTGACCCCTGTTTCAGCATGGTGCTGCTGCAGCCAGCATACCTGATTGTAGCAGCACCATCAGCACACGGCCTCTCCCTCGCTCGATGTTCCCTCGGGGGGGCCGCTCGGCTCTGCCTCCTTGCAGGCGATTGGCCACATGTGTGCCTTTTCTGAGCTACAGTTCTGGCGCCCAATCACCAGTGAGGAGGCGGAGCCGAGCGGCAGGAGTGAGGGAGTGGCCATAGTAAATTTAGGAGCAGCGCTTCCTGGACTGGATCGTTGTGGGACTGGGACACGGAGCCACGTAAGGTACAGCAGCCCCCTGCCCGCCCCTGTACTTAGTGTCCCTTCTTCGCGGAAAATATGCCCCTGCCGGCGGGCCGGATAAATGACCTCGGCGGGCTGCATGTGGCCCGCGCAGGCCGTAGTTTGAGGACCCCTGGTCTACCCTGTAGAGGTCTGTGCGTCCATCCATGGATATGCCTCCCCAGACCATCACTGACCCACCACCAAAACAGTCATGCTGAAAAATGTTAGACAGCATAATGTTCTCCACGGCTTCTCCAGACCCTTTCACGTGTGTCACATGTGCTCAGGGTGAACCTGCTCTCATCTGTGAAAAGCACAGGAGGGTGCTAGTGGTGGACCTGCCAATACTGGTGTTCAATGGCAAATGCCATTCGAGCTTTGTGGTGCCGGGCAAAGAGTACAGGGCCCTCTAAAGGACGTCGGGCCCTCACGCCATCGTCATGAACTTTGTTTCTGATTGGTCAGAGACATTCACACCAGTAGCCTGCTGATGGTCATTTTGTAGGGCTCCGGCAGTGCTCATCCTGTTCCTCCTTACACAACAGAGCAGATACTGGTCCTGCTGATGGGTAAAGGACCTTCTACTGCCATGTCCAGCATTCTTAGCGTAACTGCCTGTCTCCTAGAATTTCCTCCGTGCTCTTGAGACTGTGTTGGGAGACACAGCAAACCTTCTGGCAATGGCACATTTTGATGTGCCATCCTGGAGGAGTTGGACTACCTGTGCATCCTCTGTAGGGTCCAGGTATTGCCTCATGCTACCAGTAGTGACTCTGACCCTAGCCAAATGCTAAACTAGTGAAAAACAGTCAGAAAAGATGAGTAGGGAAACAAATATCAGTGGTCTACACCTGTAAAACCATTCCTGTATTGCGGGTCGTCTCATTGTTGCCCATCTAGTGCACCTGTTATTAATTTTATATTAAAGCAGTTGAAATTGATTAACAACCCCCTCTGCTACTTAACTGACCATCAAACGTGGCAAGAGTGACAGTTTTTTTTCCGTGGTGTGTGAAGCAAGCCATCAGAACTGTAGCATGTAACCCTCCCTGTCTGATGTCTTTGCAGCTTAAGGGAAGGCGATTGGGGATGCTACAAATACGGCTACACAGCTAATTTTTAACACGCCTCAACTGCAAGTCTTAAAGAGACCATAGTTTCAACAGTCACATTTCCGTTTGTGTTTAGATTTTATATTACACACTGGTTACTTTAGTTACTTTGTATGCAGCAACTGAAGTGTTGGAGAATTTCATGTAAAAGGAGTAGCAACTGTGATTGGCAGCAGCATGGTGTTTCCAGGAAGATTTTGTTGCTTTTCAAAGAGGTGGTTGTCTTCTTTTAAGCTACAGTTTGTTTTCCCAATTTCCCTTCGCCATATTCCTTTAAGTGTTCAGCAGTTGCACTACAATCTTTTTCAAAATGGCTCTGGAACCTGTGAAAAGTGCCTAGATTTAGGCTGGTTGTGTTACAGCACCTGCCACTGCTGGTTGATATCTCAACATATTCTCATTCAAGGCTGCCATGCGTATAAAATGATGAACTTTGTTCAGTAAGCAGGAATGCCATTAACGGCAAGCAACTCCTAGTTTTGGAATAATTGATTTTAAAATTATTCTGAACTACTAGTGTAGTTCTCATCTGGAAAGACACATATACTGTATTTACAGTTAATAAAAAGTAAAATAAAATGTTATTTGTAGGTAATGTCAGTTAGTAAAAATTGCCACTAGATGGCCTTCTGAGCTAACTTATTAAGAAACTCAAGCTGCAGCATTTGCGCAGAAGATGTCTTTAGTATGGCATCAGCACACTTGGGACATATTTGTGAAATCATTGGCAGTTTTCAATCACTAGCAGCTTTCGGTTTTGTATAGCTGTCACATCATTTATACTGTTTCACCTATCATCCAGATTTGCTTGTGCAGTCACCTAATCTAGAAACATTTACCGACATTTGGATTTTTCCTTTTTTCACCGTGAAATCCAGGTTACATTTATAGTAAAACATGGCAAAATATACATTCGTTATGAATGATTTTGTCAATGATTCCTCCATTGAGGAACATGCGTGCTCATCCAAGTCCAGATTTTTCACATATTTTCTGCAAAGCTCAATTTTACCCTTTTTTAAAGCAGTAGTAAAGTTTGGGGGAAAAAACTTTACACTGCAAGTTAGAGCCTATATGCAAGTATGCATCACATAATGGCACATTATGAAAGAAGTACCTTTAAAACGAAGCTCTCCATTGGTGAACTGTTGCCACGGACAGGGCTTCCATCTTCACCTGGTCTTTCTTCCAAGTTCACCGGCTCTGGCGTTTTGGATGGCCAGGCCAAGATGACGTCACTGCCGCGTATGCGCACAAGAGCCACGATCTTGGCACAGCACTCTGAAGGGACGGCATACTCGGTATTGCAGATGCACCACTGACATCACCAGCTGTAGAAACAGTGATTGTCTCCTAAATGGTGATTTACTACTTCTGTAATTATTATTAGCACACCTTAGCATGCACTTGCCAAAGAAAAGTGAAACAAGATCTTTCATGTGGGAATGTGGTTGCATAAATTGTTTCACACAGCGCATTTTGAAGAGATTGTATTTTTTACCGACACTGCTGGACTCAAGATAGATGCCCTTTTAGGTGTACTTTTTATTGCCATTTTGTATTTATAGGAACTAGAACAGAGCAGGAAGAGTCTAGCAAATGTTACAACTCCAGCCATTTTGTACTTTTCTACTTTTCCCTGTCTTTCTACTATCTTAAGGCTGCAGTAATTTCACTTCTTACCGATATTTGGTTCACAACTGCTGTTCTATTGTCTGCAGTTCTCAGAAGTAATAGATTCACAGTAGGCAGGAGTAACAGAGTATAGCTGAATGTAATCAAGGTAATTCCACTTAAAATGTGGTGTTAGCAGTTCACTCTAGGAATCCATCTGTATTTTTATACTCCCCCCCCCCCCCCCCCCCCCCCCCCCCCTTTTTTATATTGCTTGAGTATTTTCACCATACTAAGAATAAGGTTCACTGTGACATTGGACATGTTTTTTTTACAACAGTGGTACAGTGGTATTAAAGGAGCATTTACAGAGAGGCACCAGTAG